TGAGTATTTGGCTGACATTTTCTCAAAAATGAACAAAGTAAGCCTGTCACTTCAAGGAAAATAGCTAGCAGTATTTGTTGCCAATGATAAAATGCAAGCTTTCAAGCAAAAATGTAAAATTCTGTATAATCTGTATCGACCTGTTTGACAGTTCCCAATGCTGAAGACTTTCTGATGGTTAGTATTGATACTATTAACATGATTTTTTGATAATATATAATGAAATGTGTCACTATTTAGAAAATTTACATAGTTCAATAACCCATATTTTCTAAATAACTGATGCATGGTGTTATAGAATCATACATACATAAAAGATCCACTCAAAATGCAAGACAGACTAGTTAATTATAATTAGTAAAGTACAAAATTCATTAATATATTTTCTGATTTGATATTGCAATTAACATGTTAAGCTTTGGTTTAATATCAAAGAAGAATATCACAATTATCTGAAAGGCTATTAAAATACTTTTCTTTTCCAACAACTTATCTGAGTGAGATCAGACTTTCTTTATACACTTCAACTAATACAAAATACAGCAACAGATTGAATGAACATGTGAGAACCTAGCCATCTTTGATTAAGCCAGATATTAAGGAGATTTGCAAAAGTGTAACATAATGCCACTCTTCTCACAATTTTTTTTTGCTTTGAAAAATATGGTTATTATTCATGAAAGATATATTTAAATTAACATGTAATGGGCTTACTGTTACTTTTAAGTGAATCAAATATTCTCTTAATTTCTCAGTTTTAATTTTAATATGGTAAATACTGATAGCTATAACCTACATTTTAAAAAAAAATCCTCTTTGAGGTTCTCAATAATTTTTAAGAGTTATAAGATATTAAAACCAAAGAGTTTGAGAACTGCTCTCCTAAGTCTTATTTTCTCACCCTTCTGGGCCTTTCCACCTGATGTTACTATTGCTATCCTAAATATCACACCCTTTTTCATCTAACACAAATTACTCCTTCAAGATTGTTAAGCATTGCTACCCAGCAGAACTGAGTACCCCCTAAGCTAAAATTCAGATCAAGATATATTTGACTGAATGTCTTCTATGCACTGAGTAATTCATTACTGAGGACATACTATGGGCCAAAGATATACTCCTCCTCACAGAGATTAAATTCTAGCTGAATGTAGATTAAACAAATACATATAAAAATATAGTTACAAATATACAAATATGCAAGTCCTGTCATAAAGATTGTATAGAAAAGCACAAAGTAAAATAGGAATATATAACTTAGGATGTGAAGCAGGGGATTAGGGAAGCCACTCTGAATAATATTTAAGCAGACAACAACCAGAATGATCAGAAGTCAGCTAAGCAAAGAATTAAGGAACAGGTATTCCCAGTAAAAGAAACAATCTGTGCAAAGACCTTGAGACAAGGAAGCATTTTGGCATGTTCTAGGAAGTGAAGTGAGCCCAATAGCATGAAAGCATAATGAGTTACAAGATGGCATAGCAAACGAAATAAGATATTCCTGAGAATTGTGGGCTATAAAAAGGATGTGAGGCTAGAACCTATGGTTGATGAAAACCACTGAAGATTTTTAAACAGACAGGGTGAAATAATCTCATTTGCATTCTATAAAGATTATTCTGCTTATGGTATAGAAACTGAATGGTAAAGATAAAGATGATGATGACAATGCTTGTTGCAATAATCTAAGTGAGAAATGATGGTGTGCCAGGCCCTGAAGAAGGCTTGGGAAAGAAAATGATACAGAAATGCAAAAGGAATCAACAGTCCTCCCATGCAAAAGAGATCAGAAGTGGTCACAGAAACAACTACCCCAGCCATCATTTAAATATTCCAAGAGTCAGAGGTCTCAAAATAGTCACTCTGGCTTATGAAGAGAAAGGGGAACATTCTGAAAAGATGTCAAAAGAACGTGTTTACAAACAAACATGTATGGAAACTTAGGTAAGAAGGAAAAACCTCTAAGAAACATGACATAATAAGTAATAAGCAGAAGGCAGTGAATCATCTTGCTACATGTGTGCTATGGAACGGTCATATTCACAGTAGCATCAGCAACAGCACTTTCGAAAATTTCTCCCATGACAAGAGATCCTTCACAGTAAACCCACTAGCAGCTATAGAATTCAAAAGCTTAGCAAAACTTTTTACACTTCATGGTATCGATCATATGTAAAATACATAAATCTCACCCTGTTTTTCCATTTGAAATTTCTTCAGATACTTTCTGAGCATATACTATATGCCCAAGCCTATAGCACTGTGTATGCAAAGATGAGTAAGACAATCTCTCTACCCTGATGTAGTCATAACTTAAGAAAGGAGAAAGACACATTGATAAATACCTGCACAGAAGATGAGAATGAAATAATAAAAGTTGAAAAAAATGTTGATGTAATAGAAGTGGAAGCACCTAACGTTGCCTGGGGAAATCAGAAATAATTTCCCAAGGGAGGTGGCACGTGAGCAGAACTCTAAAGGATGAATGGAAGTTTATCAGGTCCAAAAAGGCAGAAAGAGCGTCAAGGCGAAGAGAAAAATATAAACAAAGACATAAAAGCATAAAATCTATGTTATGCTTGAGGAACAAAGACAAGTTCAATGTGCCTGAAGCACTGATACAAGGGGTGAGGTGGTGAGGGCAGGAAATGAGACTTCAAAAGTAAGCAGAGCATTCTTTTGAAGGGTCTTATATACTTTGCTGCCTAAGCTAAAAAGGTTTGGGCAGCAATCTGATATTTGAAAGGTAAGTGACAACATCAGGTTTACGTAATAAGGTCAGTAAAATTCTTATAAAGTGCTACAAAGCCTAGCATAAAGCAAGCATTCAATTAACATTACTATTATTAATATTATACAAGAAAATACGCATAACAGGAACAAAAAGAACAATCACCGTATGTCTTTGATAGTTGCTCGTTTCAGGGGGTCAACCTGCAGCATATGCATCAGGAGAGTGGCGACAGAACGATTGAGATATTCTGGGATATAAAACACACCACCTCGGATCTTCTTAAATAATGTAGGTACATGCTCATCATCAAATGGGAGGGTGCCACAAAGAAGAGCATACAAGATAACACCGCAGCTCCAGATATCGACTTCAGGACCTGCATACAATCTAAGAAAAAAAGATGACAACACAAACATGAAGCGCAAGTTATCACTTTATCTCACCTATATGTACCCTGCGTCTATACCTATGTGTACTACAGACTCAGTACTATTGATTCCCAAGGTCTTTAATGAAGTCCATGGCCACTCACCAATGCTCAATGGTTGTTCCCAAAGAGAATAATTGATCTAACCAATTACTATTTAAGTTTGCCAAATGAATAGGATCATTTTGTTTGTCACAAACTCATTTTTAAAAATGTAAGACTTTCTGTGGTTGATTTTTGAGAAAAACATCAAAGTAGATAGCCATAAACTTGGAAAAACAATACTATAGTGTATACGCTAAATCTTTTCCACATAAAACTATTAGAAGAAAGAAAATCCACATATAATATTAATAGAATTTTTATCTGTGGCACACCTATTTTAACGAATATTTGAAATATTAAAGTACCTAATACTGCATAAACAGGACTTACCCTTATCACATTATGCTGACTAATCACTTGCTAGCCCATAGGATTAGGATAAGCTCTGATCCACATAACCTATGCCTAGAATGTTATTCTTTTTTTCTCTCACCTTCTACTGTATTAAAATTCCCAATAGCACATTACCAAATTCAAACTGGGTCTAGGGTAGCAAAGTAAATCTCTACAATTCCAATGAAAAGAATATAATCTGTTTCTACAAAAATTGCCATCTATCATTCACATCATTTGCTGTGTTGTCCAAACTCCTTGCAATGGACTGAACGTTTATGTCCCCCCAAAATTCATATGTTGAAATCCTAACCCCCAAGGTGATAACAGTATAGGAGGTGAGAATTTTGGGAGTAGATCAGATCATGAGGGCTCTGTTCTCATGAATGGGATTAGTGCCCTTTATAAAAAAAGATCCCAGAGAGCTCCTCATCCTTTCCACCATGTGAGGTTACAGTGAAAATACAGTAGTCTATGAGGAAGTGAGCCCTCACGAGACACCAAATCTGCTGGCACCTTGATCTTGGACTTCCCAGTCTCCAGAACTGTGAGAAATAAATCTCTGTTGTTTATAAGCTGCCTAGTTTATGGTATTTTTCTTATAGCAGCCCAAATGAACTAAGAAACTGCTATATCTGCTACTGGCAATAATACCTTTTCAACATTTTCTCTCACAGAATTCTGTTAACTTTTTAAATCACACACTGGTCACTGTAGAAAGACTTGAGTTTACTATTGTAATCTGTATAAACATTTTTTATAATGTACCAATGAATTAGTTACATGAGTACACAATCACTACTTGTATAGTTTAATTTCATGAAATAATATTACCCCCCCAAAATTTCATTCTTCCAAAGACAAAATATAAAACAATATTGTGGCTGGGCGCGGTGGCTCACACCTGTAATCCTAGCACTCTGGGAGGCCGAGGCGGGAGGATTGTTTGAGCTCAGGAGTTCGAAACCAGCCTGAGCAAGAGC